CTAAGCCGCCTTGAGGTACTAGGCTCCGCCGCGCCCCGCGGGGCTCACTAACCTGACAAAGGACGATCGCGAGTATAGCTGGGAAGTCTATGAAAGCGCGAACTCACCGGGCAGTTAGTGTTGGAGGTTGAGTAGGTAGCTTGGTAGCTGGTAGGCTGACGATGGTAGTCGTTCGGTGGAAAGAGAAGACTTAGATGATATTCATGGTAGCGACTGTATATATATGACAGGAGCGTGTGAAGTCACTACCGTATTCGTAACTACTATGCAGTCCAAGTCCCACGGTAATGCAGGACGGCTACGTAAGCAATGAACGTGGCCCTATGCGATGAACGCGGAGCCACACGAATGCGTGAGCGCTAAAAGTACCAATGGGATACCTAGCGCCAGAATAGACGTATGAAGGCGGTGTTTACTTGTAGACCTCGTAGAGGAACATCGCCGTACAGGAGGCTTCTGGATGAACCAATAAAGCCGTAAAGGGTCGAATACTAGACGTAAATCTGACACGCGCACCTTTTGTCCAAATTCGGCAAACACAGCCTCACTAGCAACTCTGTCTCCGTAGGAGGACAATAACATGTTTGTCTTCTGCCTGGACAAGCCTCTTCAGCTCGTTCCTGATGGTATCGGCATCGTCTTGGAGCGTCGCGGCAGGTTTTGGCGCCTGCCACTTTGTGCTAGGAAGGTGGGGGCAGGCAGTGGGATAGCCTTGATCGTGTAACAAGGCGCGGAAATCACTGAAGTGCTCGGGTGTGTGCCAACAGCCGTGGATGATGAGTACAGTCGATTTCTCGGAGTTGGTGGTCAAGCGAGTCATCTTGTGATGAAGAATAGAGAGGCCTGGATCGCATTCTTATAACCATGTAAAACTTCATTTAGCCTTAAGTGTTTGTGGGTCTGTCACCCACTGGTACCGCCTCGGTTTTTCCGTCCTGTCAGTCGTGGCAGTGCGGCGCTAGGGCAGCTTTATTTCTTCTTCTGCTGTCCACCATCGATTACATGCACCCAAAGAGCATCCAGCTGCTGTCTTAAGGCCCATCAACCTACCATAACGATGCCTCGAGCTTCCTGTTTCAATCAGAGCAAACGGAAGCACCTTCAAGGAATAAAGTGTGCAAAGTAAAGACCCACGACATCCAACACAGAGTGTGTTGAGAACACACGCAGTCAAAATCAGCATCACACTCGTGGACAGCTGGTACTTTACCATGTCAATAATACTAGTACTGTTCGTTTCGGATGAAGATTTATAAACCAACTTAACACCAAGTTCAGTATGGCACAGTACTAGGGATGATACATGCACGGGCGACTGGGGATGATGGATCACCCTCAGTGTTCTCGGAGTGCTCCATCATATCTACAGTGTAGTACCATTGAGAATAGATCAACGATTATGAACAACACAGATAGCGATTTAATGAGTAGGGGGAAGAGGAAATAGGAAACAGGGAGCTGGATTGATATGGGCATTGGTGGGCGTTTGTATTGGAGTACTACGACGAATTTGCGGCATGATTTATCAAGTCAACGACTATTTGTGGATGAGATATGTAGGGCGAATGTCCGCCGTCATCAATCATGTAGCTTTTAAAGTCGCCCTCCAATTTATCGAGTATGTCTCTCCTTTGATTTTCCTGCTTATGGAAGGGACATGTGTTATCTTTCTTGCAGAACAGGTAAGACACCGGATGGTGATTGTACGCATCGTATTCAGGAGCTCCAGCTGCGGCCAAGATCGACGATGGAACAAGTAAGTCTATGAAACTCTGCCGTTCATGTTCATTGATGTCGTTGTAGAGCATCTCTCCGGGGTTATGCATGGAGAACCTGTCAGTTCCCTGGTGAGAGTACGTTGAGACGCTATTGTCATTGGACAGTGATTCATAATACCACTCACTTCCATTTTGACGTCAGGCAAGGGTTCGTGATACTCCCAAGGCTTCACCCCTACTGGGACGAGAATCGCGCATATGAAGACAATGCGGAGAATGCCTCCAGAGTCTCCCTTTTCCTCTCGCGCCTTTCGTCCGAACTCGGCAAGCACAGCCTCGCTAGCAACTATACCGCCATACGAATGCGCGACGACGATGACTTTCTTCCTTCCTTCTTCGACGAGTCTAATAAGTGCATCCTTGACAGCGTTAGCGTCGTCTTGGAGCATCGCAGCCGGCTCGGGTGCCTGCCACTTTGTGTTAGGGAGGTAGGGGCAGGCGGTGGGGTAACCTTGGTTGTGTAATAAATCACGGAAGTCGCTGAAATGTTCTGGTGTGTGACAACACCCGTGGATGATTAGTACAGTTGGTTTCTCGGTGGTCAAATGGGACATTGTTGCAGCAAGCCAGAGGGAAGGCTAGGTCGCATTCTTATAGCCATGCCGTGAATATCATGTACCCTTGTTGATCGGTCTGTCGCCCATTGGCATTCTTACCTCGTTTGATGCATCCTGTCCTTGTGCCTTTGCTAATTGCCGGCTACAGCGCGTGCTGACATGTATGGACTAGGCTATAACGTTAGAGGATTGCGGCCCTTTCAGATTGGGTCAGCGTTAACCACAAAAGCGAATCTGATGGTAGCAGAAATGCCAGAGGTTTAGAAATGAGCGCCCCAATCATGTCAAACATGGCGGGTCCTCCATCAAAGAATGGTTTAAAGAGTGTGCAATCGCTATGAAAACTCGCAGACGCCGGGGTTCTTGCTGTTCTTGGTAGTTCTGGTGATAGGTAGCTTCGTGTTTGTCAATAGCAGAAAAGGCAGGACACTGTGAGCAGGAAATGTAGGGAATTCTTGTCTGTGGGGACTCAGGGAACACCTGGAATGAATACTGGCACATTGATAATGAAGCTTGTGAAGTCGTGGCAGTCGGATACTTCGACTTTTTAGCTCCGACCAGACTTAGTGTCACCGTTTTGGCGATTGTGGCAGTGCAGCTCTGTTCTGACTTCTTCCACCACCGTGAGCAACTGTGCCAAGTGTGCATCCATCCGTCACACGACTCGATCACCACCCAGCATGAGATGCTCTAGCCTCTCAAGCTCGTTCACTGACCCATCGGAAGGATCTTTAAAGCTTAAAGAGCACAAAATGAAGACCATCTTTGGCCGCACTTTCCCTTGCCCAACATAGGATGCGAAAACGCGCAGTCAACCTCGGTATCGCGATTCCCTTCACGGGTGCCATTGGCTGGTCGACGTCAGTCTACATCACCTATTCGCTCAACAGTTACGTTTCATCACCGCCTACAGCCGCTTCATCCGAGCTCCAACCTGTCCCGGGGCCAACCCGGCCTCGTCTTCGGGAAGTGCGCGCACCGGACCGGCGGGCCGAGAGGCTTATGACCTCCGGGGACTTTTCGTGTGCTATAAATACAGGGGCAGAACGCGGGCGGGAGGTCAGCTCACCCCGTTTCCCAGTCTTCGGACACACAGTCCTCTCTTCGCCTCCCTCCACCAACGCTTGATTGTGCCTAATAGCTCGTTGCCTCGTGTTGAGAAAGTATGCCGGCTAAGATCACTCACTACGAGATCCATGGTATGTCTCCTACTCATGTTGCCATCATCTTCAGATCTGGGACCCATATTGCCATCGGCGGCCTGCCTACCCTTTATTCTTATCATGATGTTTTATGTGAGATTGAAGACAGCCCAATGCTGACTAGGCATGTGCTACAGATGTTCGATTTCCGACGTCGCTCTCGGGCGACGGAACGGATGCCATGTACGTCGCATCCCTGTCGAGTAACTTGTACATTCTCACCAAACGCGACGTCGATACAGGAACACGGAGTGTGACTACTCGTCCGCCTACGTTTCTCTCTTCGCGGACAACGGTCTTGTTGGCCATGGTATGACGTTTACCATCGGTCGCGGAAATGAAATTGTGCGTCGTCCTTTCATGTTTATTCACAGATTATGTAGAACTAAGAGGGGGACGTATGGATGGTTAGGTCTGTCAAGCGATGGCTGAGCTTTCGAAACGTCTCATCGGCAAGGACCCGGAGTCGCTCTTCTCCAGCATGGGCGCGGCTTGGGACTACATGTGCGCGGACCCGCAGCTGCGGTGGTAAGCATTTCCCCGCACAGCTCTGTTAATCTCGTATGCTCATGCGAAAGGTGTGACGCAGGATCGGTCCTGAAAAGGGTGTAGTCCACATTGCAGCTGGTGCTGTAAACAACGCTCTCTGGGATATGTTCGCTCGTTCGAGAAACAAGCCGCTGTGGAAGCTCGTTGTTGACATGACCCCTGTCCGTTCCCGCCCTTCGTCAAATAGCATGCACCGTATTGACGATATGCCATAGGAAGAACTCGTCAGCGCCACCGCCTTCCGCTACATCACAGACGCACTCACAAAGGAAGAAGCGCTTGCGATGCTCAAAGCCAAAGAAGCGACCAAGGCCGCGCGCGAGGCGCACGTCCGCGAGGTCGGCTACCCCGCGTACGTCACCTCGGCGGGCTGGCTCGGGTACAGCGACGAGAAGGTCGCGCGGCTGACCAAGGAGGCTGTCGCGGCCGGCTTCAACCACTTCAAGATGAAGGTCGGCGCCGACGCCGCGTCGGACCTGCGCCGCGGGCAGATCATCCGGAGCATCATCGACGACCCGCAGTACCTCCCGCCCGGGAGCAAGGGGCGGGATCCGAACAGCCCCGCGCTGCTGGGCAAGAACGCGGGCCCGACGGGCGCGGTGCTGATGATCGATGCGAACCAGGTGTGGGATGTGCCCCAGGCGATTGAGTATGTGAAGAGCTTGGAGCCGATCAAGCCGTGGTTCATCGAGGAGCCCACGGCGCCTGATGATATCCTTGGTCATGCGGCGGTGCGCAAGGCGCTGAAGCCGTACGGGATCGGTGTGGCGACGGGCGAGCACGCGCATAACCGGATGGTGTTCAAGCAACTGTTGCAGGCGGAGGCGATCGATGTCTGCCAGATCGACTCGTGTCGCCTGGCGGGCGTCAGCGAGGTGCTGAGTGTGTTGCTCATGGCTGCCAAGTACGTCTTCGCTGGCCTTCTGCTTTCTTCAGTGTGCGCTGTTAACGGCGAAATCGCAGGTTCGGCATCCCAGTATGTCCCCATGCAGGAGGCGTCGGCCTCTGTGAATACGTCATCCACCTGAGTCTGATCGACTACATTGCCGTCTCGGGCACGATGGAGCGCAACGTGCTCGAGTTCGTCGACCATTTGCACGAGCACTTCCTCTACCCGTGCTCGATCAACTCCAATGGGCGATACAACGTCCCTTCGAACCCTGCAGAGGGCTATAGGTGCGTTTTTAAACCTCACTTACTACGATGACAATGCTGATGTGGCGGGACCGCAGTATTGAGATGCACAAGAACAGTATTGCAGAGTACGAGTGGCCTAACGGATCGTATTGGATTAGCGCCAAGGGCGGGTCGAAGTAAACGTTGGGCTTAGATATGGTGTATAAGTATGTTATGCTGATCAAGGGTGCGCCAAGGATGTACCATGCAAGAATAAACGTTTATAGAGTATGTATGTAATACTAGAAAATGCTATCTTAAATCTCTCAAGGCGGACAAGAGACGAGGCGGATGTGGATGATGGAAGGCTGCGCATGCTCATAGAAGACATAGAAATACATGTGATGGAGTGTTCTGTGATGGGGGTGTGGTAGACAAAAAGATATAGAATGCAAGGGCTAGGGATCAAATCAAAGTTGGATACAAGACAAGAAGAGAGTAGTAGACCATATGTTAAGAAACGGAGATGAGGATAAAGATAACATAAACCTTGCCTCGCTCACGCAGTCGCAGGCCACGGCAGGGCGCCAGCCAGCAAGCCAGAGAACGTGTCTCCGCCCGCGATCGTCTCCGCCGAGCGCCCGTCACGGGTCAGTCTGGTGTAGCTGGGGCTCCTCCCAGGGGAAGTCGCCGAGTCCGATGTGCGCGGAGTCGCGGCGCCATTAGAGAACAGCATCGCCTTGTCGGAGTTGGGAGAGGACACGGAGGCGATCTGTCAGTGTCGTGGGTTAGCTCTGTACCACGACCATCACAAGGCGGACGGTAAGACTTACCTGCTCCTCGATATCCTGCAGTGCGTTCATCTGCAGCGCTCTGAGGCGGACGTAACCCTCTTTGAGGTTCTCGATCTTGGCTCTGTCCTTTGCGCGCTCGGCCTCGAGCGATTCGATCTGCTCTTGTAGGCCTGCTTCGAGCTCGTCTTTGGCGCTGCGGAGGCTTTCGATATCAGACTGGAGCAATGCGACTGCTTGTTCATGCGCCTGAGCTTGGGCCGAGAGCTCGTCGGCGGTTTGCTGCGCAATGGCTTGCAGGGCGGCGCGATCCGAGAGGAGGGTGGTGTTCTCCGTCTGCAGGGCCTTAAGGGAGGCACGGGTGCTGGACAGGTCTTCTTCGGCGGCCGCAAGGGCGGCAGCTTTGGTCTCGAGCTCAGATTGGACAGACACGAGAGCCTCACTGGTGCTCTCTAGATCCCCGGAGGTCCTGACGAGCTCTTCGTCCCGCACAGCCAGCTCCTCTGCGGTTCTGATGAGCTGCGCCTCGGCGGAGTCGAGCTTCGCAGTCGCAGTATCCAGCCCTGACTTTGTTCTGTTCAGCTGCTCCAGGGCATGGATGAGGTCCTGGCGCGTGCTGTCGAGCTCATTTTTGCGTGCTTCGGCAGTCTCTCGCTCTGCAGTGAGCTCGGATGTGCGGGTGACGAGGTCAACAGAAACGACGGTAAGATCGCCGCGCATGCTATCAAGCTGATTTGCTAGGGCAGTGGTCTGCTCGTGCTCTGAGGTGAGCTCGGCGCGTGCTTGACCGAGCGAAGCAGAGGCGGCTGTGAGATCCACGACGAAGGTGTCGCGTTCGCCTGTGACGCTCTCAAGCTCGGCTCTGACACTCTCAAGCGCTGCTCTATCTGTCTCCAGTTCGCAGGAGAGGTCGATGGCGCGATCCTCGGCAGCCTTCTTCTCTTCTTCGGCCTTTGCGATGGCTGAAGACAGTGATCCGATCTCTTTGATGAGCCTTTGGCGGCCTGACTCGAGTCCTTGCGACCGTGCTTGTTCGGTCGCGAGCTCCTTCACCAACGAACTTTGCTTCTCGAGCAGTTGATCGCGTTCTTCGGTGACTTTCTCAAGCTCTACCACGTTTGTAGCGCGCTGGGCTTCGATATCTGACGTGAGCTGGGCGATGCGGGTGTCGCGATTCTGGATAATGGATTGAAGCTTGGTAGTCTTTATCAACAAACAGTGCGTTAGGACCCGTAGGCTGCATACGATGGTCAGGAGGCTTACCTCGCGCTGCAACTCCGATACTCTGATTTCTGTCTTTTTCAAGCGCTCCGAGACATCGTCTTCAGTTTCCTCGTTATGCGCGGAAGACGCAGGCGTCGCGACCTGCCGGTCGGTAGGAACAGTCTTTGACGGGAGAAGCTGAGGGAAAACGTCTTCAGCTCGGTCGTCATTTTCCGTCTGATCAGCTCCTTCGCCAAAGTCCGCGCCGTCGTCCATGTCTTGTGCCGCGTAAAGGTCCTGGATGTCGTCGAGATCCGTGAGCTCGCTCTCAGCGCGTTCATGTACATGAACCTCCTCGTGATCGGATGGCGCGGGGGTGGGGCGCATGCTGATGTCCGGGATGATCGAACCGGACTGGGTGCGCGTGACGCCGAAGCGGGCGAGCGGGAGCCGGGGGAGGCTTGTATCGGGGGTGTTTCTGATACAAAATATCAGTTATTCACTCTTAGAAGTTGGAAATATGATGGTAAGGCAGTGACATACCGTGAGGAGGCAGGAACGCGACTCGCCGGGGTCTGCGTCGCGCGGACCACGAACAGCTCATGCTGCATCTTCCTGAGCTCCGATTCTTTCATGGCTACGGCCTCGCGAAGGCGAGTTGTGAGGTTTCCGCTGACACTGTCAGCAGGGCTGTCCTCGGGACCTTCGGAAGCGGCGGCATGGCTGCGGTGGGACGGGGTGGAGTGCTGGAGGCGGAGGCGCTGGAGGGCCCTGATTTCTGCCTTGAGCTGAGGTTCAGGGGTTCAAAGTCATTAGTATACTGTAAGTTATTCCGTTCTTTGACAACGTGGGTGGCTAACCTCGTTTTTATTCATTTTGGAGATAGGCTTCGACGGTGTATCATGGCTGGCACTCATACCCGGCGTCGCGCCACCAATCGTCACCCTTCGGCGCTTCGATGCAGGAGTGCCCGAAATCCTTCTAGAAGGTGCAGTTGCAGGCATGTATTCATCGTCACCTTCGTCTGCGTCCGTTGGTGCGAACGATCTGCGCGATGCGGCCCGTTTACGGGGGCTCTTGCCGGGTGTCCCGTAGTGGCTGACGATCGCCTTGACTGCGGCATCTTCCGGCAGGTTCTTGCGCGCCTGTGCGATTCTGTTATGGGTATGTCAGGCCGGCGGGCCATGGGCGGGGAGAAAAAATGGAGACATACAGCTTTTTACCCTCCGGCGTCATGCTTACGTGACCGGTGGAGTCCTGCTGTTCAAGGAGCCCTTGTTCCTCCTATGTAGGATGTCAATTCGAAGGTCCGGTGCTGCGCAGCAGTGAGGAATACGTACTAGTTTGTGGACGGCTTTCCCTACCCATGCTCTCCATCGTGGTCCGAGTTTGTCTTTGCGCTCGTCGGCTAGCTTGCGGACTGGGTGACATGACGTGCATTGGTGGTCTGGAGGCGGAGAGGCCGAGAAGACTTACCTTGGGCGCGTAGAGTAGCGATGTGCACGCTGTGTCGTCGGTGGTCCTTCTGTGCCTGCGGGAACGCATGAAGGACGCCTGCATGACGAGAAAGTGGTGTGACGTGGGTTTAGAACAAAGATAAGCGAAGTCCACGTTAGCGTTCATTGGCGGCGTCTAAAGTGAACCGGGCCACTTACGTTCGGCATATGAATATTTTACAACCTTGGGTGGTTTCGTTGCGACCATGCTGCTGAGGTCTAGGGTGGGATGGTGGAGGTAGCGATGAAAGAGGGGGGAGAAGCAGGGCGAGGGTGAAAGGGCGTAAAGAAGAATGGAGACAGGGGCGCGGCTACCTCGTTTCGCGCGCTCATTTATCTTGCCACCGCCACGCCAAAGAACGCGTCACGCACGTGAGCACAGTGACTCGAATTCAATTTCAACTCGGGACAGGGGCGCCCTTGGCTTTCCAAATGCGGCCACGGCGGGCGTCGGCAGGGCGGTGGGCGCACGTCGGGTGTCCATTTACGGAAATCCCGCCTCTCGGTACACGTCTTTGATGCGGAGCCGACACCAAGATGCGGCGCTCGACGCTGAGTGAGTCATTAAATCATTTGCGTCAGCCAACTCTGAATCAGAATCAGAGTATAGTACGGATAAGCAAACAAAAATGACATTCTACTCAGTATTACAAGCCATCGTGTGTCACAGAAGACGTCGCCTGCGCCCATCCGGAAAGCTTGTCATCCGATTCCCAACGCTGGTCGATATGAGAAGCCGTGGCCTGTCAGTGTCCCTTTTCTTTTGTGGCAAGAAGTCGCCAAACACGTTATCAACTGTCACCTCGAAATCCCGATCCTCCGTTTTTCTTTTCCCCAAGCAAGCCCTGGTCAAGCTGTCCTCTCTGACTCGAGCGAGCTTGAGGACCATATCCACGCCAAGGATTTCGACGTCTCTCGGCGAAAGCGTTTCTTTCCGACAAGCAATACCATTGAGCGCCGGGCGAAGCCACTCCTCTATGTGGTATGCCATAGCTATAGAGAGTTTTTGCACAGGGTCGACGCCAGACATCTTGCTAGCACTGTTGATAGCCGACTGATGCAGTGTTCGCATTTCCCACTTGTGAGTTAACCGGATAACACCGGTCCACTCGTCGAAGGTGAGGGGTTGAGTAGTATCAGGACCGTCTAGGTCTGACCTACGGGAAGATGAATGGGTGCGGTTGGCATAATGAAATGGGATTGCTCACCTGGAGAACATCACTCTCAAAAGTTGCTTGAAGTCGGAACTAGTCACATCCTCCAAGATGATAGGATGTTCTGCATCTTTGCCCTCGACATTTTGATTGCCTGATGGCATAGAGAACATGTCCTGGAAAACTTCTGAGCTCCGCTCAAAGACCTGGCGAGGAACGCAAAAGAGCATGTTTTCTACCTGAGATTTGCTGGGTCAGGGAGCCACTGTAGATCAAGAGTAACATAGCTCACAGCGAAGGTAACATTTGTGAAGCAGAATAAGTCGTCGGGGACTCTGGTAACCTTCGCGCTAATGTTCATGGCAAGAGAAGTCTCCGGTTCAGAACCCGTCGCATCGCTGAGTAATATTATATATGTTTTGGGGCTGGTTGCCACTCGGAGCCCCAAATGAGCTACCACTCTTGAAGCGAGTGGGATATCACCATTTGTACGAATTCCCATTCACGATAATTGGATTCAAGTCACCCTCGACCAACCCTCGACACGCACTGTTCTTCAGATACCGTACATATCAATGTCACGGACGCATCCTAGTACTATCTACTAATACAGGTTCTCCTTCACATTTCCTCAGCTTTCGCAGGCGGATAAGACAGAGTTCATACTGATAGCTTTTGGCGGCATGGCTCAAGCAGCTGTCACGGGCGATACGAGTACAGTTTGCAGACTCAGGCGGACACTACTGACACTGCTGAAACAATATCACCTATAGTACTGTAGAACGTGATGTGAAGAAACAGACGATGAGAAAGCGCCAAGCTCACGCGTACGAATCAAAGCAGTCCTACAAAGATTCATCAAGACCCTACTCATGCACTGTTTTGGTTTTTTTTTTCGCTGGCCTTTGGCCTGATACCGGCTCATCGAATACCTTGAGGACCTCCAGCAAGTCGTCACTGTAGTCCCTTTTGCGCGCTATGCTCTCTCTCACCCTCGCAAGTTTCAGTATGGTGTCTAACCCAAGCGTGTTGACGTCTATCTCCGAAAGTGGCTCTTCACGATAGGCGATGTCCAGGTATGCTGGGTGAAGCCATTCTTCGATGTTGTATTTCTTCGCAGTGATAACCCGCTCTACCGGATCCACAAGCCCAGAGTATCCGTCGGCGCAATTGATAGCGTGTTTGTATATCTCGACCATCTCCCAACGGTGCGTGGGTTTAACGACAGATATCCACTCGTTCCAGGTGGAAGGTGACGTGCACTTTGGGCCTTAATTGCCTCTCCTGTGTGTATTTCAACATGTTGCACGAAAGATCGCGCGCTGAGTAAAACCGCGACTTACCTGTATAGCATAGCTCTCAGCAGCTGCTTGAAGTCGTAGCTCATGACACCCTCCAGAACAATGGGACAGTCGTCGCTGGATCCTTCAGGGGTGCCACTACCGGAAGGCACGAGGAACATGTCACGAAAAACATCTGAACTGCGTTCGAACTCGTGACGAGGAACACGAAAGAGGGTATTTTCTACCTGTGGGATTTTTAGTTTATAACAGCAGTGAAGGTAGCAAGTGTACTGGCTCACCTTGAAGGTTACATTCGTGAAGTAAAAGAGGTCGTCATGCACACTTTTCACCTTGCCTTTCCTGTCGACACTCATGCATCATGGTTCGGATTCAAAAGGCCGTTCCGGAGATTTTCGTCTGTGTTTTTCCCAATATATCGGAGCTTGAATCAACCGTCACTGTCTCCGTATGTCAAACAATAGACAATCACCTGAAATTTCTCCGCTCACCCAAAAAGACACTGGGTTTCACCAATTACGCTCACGGAGTCTGAGTGCATCTACAGGCGAGCTGGTAATGAAGAATGCTGTGAGAGATACTGTTCCTTATTTTAGTGATCATGCATCCATTGAGGCATACAGTGGACTGATGGGATGGGGTTTATCACTGACAGGTCCAATGGGCTCAAAATGGGCTGCACTTTACGATATGGAATCATCAGTTGTCTTGTTTAATTTTTGGTGCTTACGGCCTCTACCATCAGGCACGTGCTAATCTAATCATGGCTACACATTTACCAACTTCCAGGTTCATGCTGATCAAATAGAAACTCTGTCAATGCGGGTAAGCTAATACTGCACGATATGAGATCCGATACATTTCATTACACTGTATACCATTTGACAACTACTAAGCCCTCTTGATATGAGAACGCAAAACTTACAGGTAACAGATACTCAGACCGTTTGTAGTAGTGAATGTGGCGTCCACCATGCCAGACACTGCGGCTACACTGTACACTAATCAGAGTCAGACGAGTTGGAGATGACCCTTGCCGGAGTAGTCTTTGCGGGCTTTGGCGGCGAGACCGCTTTCTTTGGAAAACGTTCCTCAAAAACCTCCGTTATCACTGACCCAAAGTCCAAACGCGCCGCGCTTCTCTTTCTGATAGTCCCTCTCGGCCCGATGCTCTCCCTAACCCTAGCTATCTTGAGCACGGTGTCTATACCCAGTATGTCGACTTCCCGTCGCGAGAGTGGCTCATCTCTTCGAGCGATATCATTTATCGTTGATTTGATCCACTCTTGTATGTCGTACGTGAGCGCGACAGCAGCCTTTTCAACGTGGTCAACGTCCTTTAGGTCAGATACTCGCTTTAATGCAAGCTGATACACCGCGCTCATCTCCCATCGATGGGAAAGCTTGATGACTGAGGTCCACTCCTCAAAAGTGACAGGTAGACTGTCGTCCGGCCCTCCCATGTCTTCTCTGTGGGTATTCAACGGCGGGCTTGGTGCTCAGTACACAGAAGACACAATATGGTCAAGAATGCCCACACACCTACAGAACATAGCTCTCAATAGTTGCCGGAACTCATCGCTCCCAACATTTTCTAGCACTATGGGACTCTCACCGATTGCTCCTTCTGCAGCTTGAGAGCCTGAGGGTACCAAGAACATGTCTCGAAATATGGGGGAATAGCGTTCCAGCTCATGACGGGGAACACAGAAGAGCGTATCTTCCACCTGTCATCACTTACGTCAGCCCGAGTGATACATCATGCATGCGACTTACTTTCAATATGACATTTGAAAAGTAGTAAACTCTGTCATGCACGGCTTGTGCGGAGAGGGTCATGGTTTCAGCTTAGGAGTGAGTAGCCCCTATCGCCTCGATTGGAATCATGTGGCGTGTAAGTTGGAGCTCTAATTATCGGAGCTCTAAATGATAGCGAAGGAATATCTAGACGCGGGTCGTGTTTATCAAAATTCACTTGTAGCTAGAGAGCAACTATTAGCTCGTCGAAGTTTGGAAAGGAAAGCTGATGTATAGTGTTGTACAGGTCACTTCGAACTCATAAAGAAAAATAGCTGGTTATGCATGCGCACTAGATGGTGTATCAAAATGCTTGTTCAACACCTGCTTAATTGCGGATCTGAAATCCAAGCCTTCTCTCCGCAACATGACCCCATGAGGTGTTCTCACGAACTTTAGCAAGCTTTAGGATATTGTCGAGACCTAGGACCTCTAAATCGCACCCTGAACACGGTTTTTCTCTTTGTGCGATGGCATTGGATGCCTCGAGAAGCCAGTAGCTCATGTTATAGGTCAGAGAAAGCTCTGCCTTCTCAATAGTATCAATTGGAAACACGGCAGGCTCCTTGGCGATGCTGAAAAGGTTGTTTCATCTCCCATTAATCATGTGCTAGTGTGAACGCAGATTTCCACATCTGGAACGTAGTTGGAGGAGTAAACAGAGGGGCAATTGATGCTCATTGTTTTAGGAGTATTATCACGGAGCAAGGTGATTATGAGACTTCTGTGTTTCCATGAGCTAGTATCTACTTGAAAGTGGTGACATACCTGACATCATACGTTGTGGTTAATATCGCTCTAAAGAGCCGCTTGAAATCATAGCTCTCTATGCCCTCCAGAATGATTGGGTTTTTGTCACTTAAATATTCTGCGGTCTGTGATCCGGTGGGGAGAGTTAACATGTCGCGGAAGACATCCGAGCCTTTTTCAATAATATCCCTTTGCTTGGTTTAACCCAATGTAGTAGGAGGCTGCAAGCAACAGGCGAGTGAAGTAGCATTGATTGTTGTATGGTAGTATACATGGATGACTATATGCATATGGTAACTACACCTCGACGTAACTGACTCTAAGATCGTATACTAAATTCCTTACATCCTGCTCCGCCACCCCCCTATTATTCCCACCATTCGTCGTGTGCTACCGGCATTGGCAGGCTTTGCGAGCGGTCCGAGTCATGTTGAGTTTCGGATGTTATGTTGGGAAGGTGATTAGAGAATGCCTCCATGACCACGGAAGTGAAGTTGTACCGCTCTGCCGTTCTGGGCCCGACATTACCACGTGTTGTGATACTTTCCCGCACCCTGGCTAGCTTTAATACGGTGCCCAGACCGAGAATATCAACGTCGCGCTGTGATAGCGGCTCAGCTCGGCGAGCGATGTCGTTGAGGGAATGAAGGAGCCAGGTCTGTATGTCGTATTTGAAAGCGAAGGCTGCCTTTTCCACCGGGTCGATATTGCCCATGTCATCGGCCTTCTTTAGAGCCAGGTCGTACAATGTACTCATCTCCCATCGATGGGATAGCTTGATCACAGAGCACCACTCTTTGAACGTGGTGGGTTGTGTCTCTGCGATAGATCCTCGATCGTTGCTGCTTTAAATCCGGTGATAAGTAATTGTCTTGAAAGACGAGGATATATTGTACAGCGTTCATTAGAGGAATGCCTATACGCACCCGCAAAGCATTGCTCGCAGGAGCTGCCTAAAGTCATAGCTACATGTGTTCTCCAGGACAATCGGATGTTCGTCGCTCTCGCCCTCGGGGTGATCGGCACCGGAAGGGATGAGAAACATGTCGCGGAAGACGCGGGAAGTATGCTCTAACTCATGGCGCGGGACACGGAAAAGTGTATTTTCCACCTGAGGTCGATGATGGGTTGGTGGGTTGAATCAGGACGAGATTTGAAGGACATTACCCTGAAGGTGACATAGGAGAAGTAAAAGGTGTTGTCGTGAGTGGTTTGCTTGGTCGATGGCATCGTAGAGCTGGTGAAAGCTAGTAACGCGTTGGGCTATATCAGACCATACCAGCGCTTATCGATATCTGTGATGGCACCTGATGCATGATGCTTAAGCTCAATGGTAACGCCCGTGGCTGAGATTACGGCGCTGAAGGCTTCTCCTACGATCAGCGCAGGTAAAACGTGTCTCTCAAGAGAGAACTTAGCTCCGAGGAAATCATAGCCCTTTGTCCCACGATTATAGGTCATGTTCCAGTCCGGTAAAGCCTAAGTGAACTGGCGGAGGGCTGGTTGCGATCTATGCGTTAAAAGGTTGGAATTTCTGAATCACAGTGTGAAATGCACGCTCATTTACGGAGGAATTCAGCGCTCTTGTATCCAAACGCAATTACTGTTGGCCTCGAAAGATGACTTGCAGTAGTTGATTTACCTAGCTCATAGTGCTGAACGTTTGAACGCCGAGCTGTTATTAGAACTGTTCGACGCCCGGCAGTGGCGGACTTACATAAATGTTCTCACGCATTCTCGAGCACTTGGCTTCGGCACTTTTTGACCGCAACGTCCGTAACACTTCGCCTCTCTTACGGCACTACATGGGTCATGCGCCTCCCACTCGTGTAGGAAGAACCCACTGAACCTTCCATTTGTATCATACATGTGTCCCCATGCGCTCGCTCTATTGTTCTGTAAACGCCGTATGCATGCAGTCTCGGGCCGCTTTTGGGTACGAGAAAGTTATAGAAGCCGGTCGGATTCGGAGTACTCACACCCAGTGGCAAGTAGTACCGTAGCACCTCAGATCGTGTTATTTCCGTACTGATGACGCCCCTTCTCCAGCTGCTCCATCAAGGATACTGCAAAAGCATGACTGACGAGGTTATGCCTCGACTGAAGCCGTTCTCTTAAAAGAATGTCTCCCTCACCTCAACTTCATGTGATTAGTCTGACGTCCAATTGCCTGTCATGTAGCGCTAGTGAAGGCTAGTGACCGGCAACGTGTGCCTCCCGGCACCAGCGGACTCAAATGAGACGCGCATGCATGCGCCGCGCGATCACGAGCAAACATCACGAGTCCCTCTGTGCCGGCGGGCATTGAGCACGATGGCAGGGATCGACAGGTCGGACGGTCATATGCGACGCGTACGCGTGAATCGTGGTCATGAGTGCGCGCGCATTGGGTGTGCATTCCCCGGACACCGGGTTGGGGATTCGATGAATGAATCAATGGACGACTGAGTGGGGCTATAAGTAGCCCGCCGGGTATTTCACTCACGGTTTCACGCGCTGCAACCCTCCTCCCTCCCTTTCGCTTCCCGTCCAGTCTGCAGATTTGACGCCCAGGATGATCGGTGCTGCTGCTCTGCTCGTGTACGCGTCTGCTGCGGTCGCGCTCAACAATGGCGTTGCGAAGTTGCCCGGTGAGTGTTCTGCATGACGTCATCGGCATCGATTCTCACTGCGCCCTATAGTTCTTGGCTTTAACAGTGAGTTTATTCGTTCTGAAGGGAAGGCGATGGATGTCTGAACCTGACTGGTTGTATAGCTTGGAATGCATACCACGTAAGTCACGCATAGAGCCACTCATTCCATGGCCTTTGCTGGACATAACACGTCTATGAAACAGTGCGACATTTCCCAAGAGCTCGTGCTTCAACAAGCCCAGTACATGAAAACCCTCGGCCTTCTCGATGCGGGGTACACACAGTTCAACCTCGATGACTGTTGGGGCGTCACAAATCGCTCGTCGTCGGGCGAGATCCAGTACAGTGAGTCTTTCTTGTGTTTGTGATGACATGGCTGTTAATGGAGGATGGATAGACACGACGCTCTTCCCCGACATGAACAACTACACGGCTACGCTCAACTCGATGGGATTGTATGTACAGTTTACCTCTTTCCGCACTTAGGAGCTGATCATTGTTCGTGGGTTGTGTAGCAAAGCCGGTATCGTGAGTGTTCATCGCATGCTTTCCCACCGGGCCGGGCATTGGAAGGCTGATCCGACTTTGCGGTACAGTACTCGGACTCCGGCTGGCAAACCTGCGCGGGGTACATGGGTTCGTTTGACCACGAGGACCAGGACGCGGCGACGTTCCAGAGCTGGGGCTTTGACTACCTCAAGTGCGTCTCTCTTTCCATCCATTGGTCAACTCTACTGATCAGTGAGACGAATAGGTATGATAACTGTGCCAGTAAGTATATAAACGTTGCAATGTCTTGATCAACTCAGCTGGCTAATACTCTCCCTTAGTCCCATTCGACGACGATGTGCAGCAGAACATTCTCGGTAGTAAGTGCACTACCCGCCTCTTTGGATGGAATATGCAGCCCTAACGTGCAATACGACACGTGAAGAATACCAGCGCATGCAGGACGCGCTCGAGAAGGTCGCGAACAGCACGGGAACGACGTTCGTCTTCAGTCTGTGCGAGTGGGGCTGGGTGAGCGTCTCCCTCCTGAGCACGTGTACGGTGTTAATGGTATGCTGTGCCTGTAGAGTCAAGTTTGGCTGTGAGTTCTCGGTGGATTTGCTTTCAGATCGGGATACTAATGCTTGGGTGAAGCTGGGGTGCGTCCGTTGGCCATAGCTGGCGGGTATGTCTTTGTCGCTTCGTGTGCGCACATATGGAAACCTGACGTGGCGACTAGATTGATGAGGATATCTCACCGTATTGGTCGTCCCTTACGAGTATCATCAACCAGTACGTCTCTTCGCATCGTTAGGTAGACAGCATCCTGATTTGAGAGGCCAGGCTCTCGTTTGTCAACTTTGGATCGCAGTTCTATGGGCACAATGATCTGGACATTGTACGTATCTTGGCCGCGTATCTTGTGGTATACAAGCTGACCCAGGCCTGTGCGACCCGTTTAGTTGGAGATGTAAGTGGACGATGCATTATATCAAAGGTGGTCGCAAATCTGACGAACGAGCTAGTGGTAACGGGAACCTGACGTACGACGAGTCCAAGACGCACTTCACCGTGTGGGCGTTTGCGAAGTCGCCTCTCCTTATAAGTGCCGATGTGCGTGAGTTTTGACCAGTATCAGAGAGATGCTGACGCAGACATGGGACACAGCTCTCGAGCATTAGCCAGGAGAACGTCGAAATTCTGACGAACAGCGAGATTCTCGCGATCAGTCAGGACAATGTGTACGGGCAGAGCGTGTCGCCATTCCGCTGGGGACTCAACGTGCGTCTGCCACATTCTCCGTCATGGACTGTAGCGAATGATTGTTGACAACTGTACTCTCTAGCCGGATTGGACCACAAACGTCACCTATCCTGCGCAGTACTGGAGCTTGCCTAGCGAGAACGGGACTGTCATCATGCTGGTACGTTCCTCACATACCTCGTCTGTAGTTACACGGTGTGTTGATGAATGACACGATAGATCAACACACTCGACGACTCCGCGGACATGTTCTTCAACTTGACCGAGTCGCCCTGGCTGCGCGCCGGCATTCAGTACAGCGTCCGGGACTTGTGGTCGCACACCGACAACGGCACGGCCGTGCGCAACTACACTGCGGCCAGCGTGCCATCGCACGGCGTCGCGGCACTGCTGTTCACCGAGGCGGGCCCCGAGCCCCAGGGCCTGTTCCCGCCGTGTGCGGGTGAGGACTTGCATAATTGCATGGCAGAGAACGGAACGAGTTATTCGCAGTATTGGCCTGGGTTCTGAGCCATGGGATGGGCCAAGGGAAATATCATTTGTCTTGTTTATCTTGTACCATTTTGTGCGTTGAAGAAATTAGGTCATCATGGAAACGGGATGAAACCGAACTGTGTTGGCTCTGATGCGAACACCAGAGAAGGACTGGTAGAGTTCGGCGAAGGCTCCCAATTTCTGTATGTATGTACAGTTGCAGCTACTACTCTGCTACACTTGAACAAGGGAAACATCTCAAAGCCCGAAAGTCAGAGAGTGCGGGAAGTTTCTTGCAGGGTGCTTGATCGTGCGGGACTGTAGTAGCACTAGTCTTGATTCAGAGATATGGTTGGAAAGGGAAACCCTGCGCTTGCCCCTGAGAAATGAACGCCCTGGCTGAGAAGGTAGATTTGAAGGAAACCACAAGCCGTAAAGGCCAAAAGACGACATCTATATTATCGTTGGTCTGTCTGAGATCGATAACTTCATGTTCTGGACTGGAGGAGCATGTTCAATGAGACGCCGAGGCCAAGGGCAAAGTTAGCTCGGCTAAAGTGGAGCGTGACCAACTGTATTGATCGGGTGCAATTGCTACCCCACATTGCGCACTGACCAGGGCGGCAACAAGCCAAGGGACGCCCCGCACTTGCCTTTCTTTCCTCTGACGACTTGGATCGCAACCATCTTGACGTCCGTCTCTCCATCTCCCTTCCTGCGTATTTACGCCCTCGTCCCACTCACTTATTGGATAGCCGGGTGCAAGTTCGGATCCCAACAGAAGCGAACCGAATTCTATTTCCTACGCTTGCGCGGGTACGCTAACTATAGTTCCATTATCCGCATTGTACGTACATTGAATCCCGCTCCACTGCGCTGTTCACTTACAACCCATTCTTCCCACTGCACACCACCACGCTCGTTCGTTTGGCTCGAAACATCCCCTCATCATGCCGCTGGCGTCATCCTCATCAAAAGCTCGCGCGGACCTGCAAGAGGAGGTTAGGCAGTTCCAATTCCCAATGTCTAACTACGGCGCGATCCCTACGAGCGGCTCGCCCTCCGCTGCGCCTTCGTTCCCGCAAGGCGGAAGACGACGGACGTTGTCGGATCTCAGCACCGGGACGACACACAGCCAGTACTACAGAGAGGAGCTGTCTATTCGCAATGGTGTGTTCCCTTGACCTAGCCTCGTGGTCGAGCGGCGGGCTGACTGAGATGGTCATTAGGCCTCCGAAACAAGACGATGATGACATCCATCCTCACGTCCCTCGTATGTATTGTCATCGGTGTTGCATTTGGTACCCTGGCGGTGTTTGTGCGTCCGTCTCCGCCCATGCCTGCGACGGATATGCGTGTTGCAAAGTTGCCTGGTGCGTGTTCTCTTGCATGTTTGACGAGTCGTCGTTGACCTTGTAGTACAGTTATGGGATACAACAGTACGTGTGAAGCACTCTTTAGTGGGTGATGGTGGTGCTAACGTTGGGCTGCGATGTAAAGCATGGAATGCATATTATGTATGTTCTATCTTCATCTCCTCTAATGCGACCGCAACTCAAGATCTTACAGTGCGACATTAGCGAAGCCAGGGTGCTTGAAGCCGCATACAAGATGATGGACTATGGTCTGACCGTACATCTTCTCTTTCGCTTTCACTCAGTTCTCAAACTGACTCGTCGAACACAGGACGTCGGCTACAACTATGTCAACATTGACGACTGCTACTCTCTGAAAGAGCGCGATGCCAAGGGGAACATTGTCGAAGGTACGTTCATGTTCACCCTGCCCCAACTTTCCGCAAGATGTGAGAGGAGCAGAGACAGAGAACTGACCAAGGGCGCTGCAGACCCAGACAAGTTCCCGCATGGCATGCGTACACTTACGAACAAGATCCACGACCTCGGATTGTGAGCCTGACCCATTCTTCCTCCCTCGTGTCCCCTGCTTTTAGCTTACTGACGCTATGGGTACCTCGTTACCCAGGAAAACCGGCATCGTGCGTCCTTTTCGTTGTGCAGTTGATCTAAACCACTAGCTGACGGTCACACCAGTACAGCGACTCGGGCTGGTTCACGTGCCAGCTCTACCCCGGCTCGTTCGGCAACGAGGACCGCGATGCGCAGCTGTTCCATGAGGAGTGGGGCTTTGATTATCTCAAGTATGATAACTGCGCGGTGCCGTTTGATAATGTGACGAGGGAGAATATTAAAGGCCGTGAGTTGATTTATCCTCTGGCTGTCATTGTTGCGTGGTTGCGAGTGTGTCACTGATATTGAATTTGAATATGGGCGATAGGCTTCCAGCGCATGGGGCGGGCGATTAACGAGCTTGCGGCGCAGACGGGCAAGGAGCCGATGGTGTTGTCGCTGTGCGAGTGGGGACGAGTAAGTACTCTCGTTTCATTACTGGCCGTTGATTGGCTCAACGGGGCTTTGTCGGGTGTAGGAGCAAGGTTGGGTCTGGGGACGTCGGTATGGCCAGAGCTGGCGGGTGAGTTTCATTGACTGTTGTATGTGTATATGCAGGGTGTTGACTCAGAGTAACTTATAGACGACGGATGACATTGGTATGCGAAGATTTAGGACGTCATGGCGGCGATGTGTGCTAATGAGAACGTGCAGGCGCTAACTGGCCTTCGGTTGCGAGCATTATCAACCAGTCTGTACCCTTCATTACCGCTTGGTTGAGAAAGTAGAACTGACGTGAATGGCACAGGAACTCGTTCATCACTTGGGCGAGCGACTTCTACGGACACAATGATATGGATATGGTAGGCACCTATACCTACAACTTTCTAAACTTGTGACTGACCCGACATTTATTGTAGCTTGAGATGTACGTTCTCTTGCCATCGCCGCCGCTTAGCCGTATGAACACGTCTTCTAACGCATAACTTTTAGTGGTAACGCCGGTTTGAACTACGAAGAGCAGAAGACGCACTTCACCGCCTGGGCGTTGATGAAGTCGCCGCTGTTCATTGGTACCAACGTACGTGTCTCTCTCTTCTCCACTTCCTACATTTCCCTCTCGTTTTCGATCCCTGCTCACCAACTAACACTCGGGAACTTGCATAGCTGGCCAACATCCCTAACGACTCGCTCGCGATCCTCAAGAACGAGGAGATCATCGCGATCAACCAGGACCCTGTCGTCGGCTCCTCGGTCGCGCCCTTCCGGTGGGGACTCAACCGCAAGGACTGGACATACGACGATCTGCACCCCGCGCAGTATTGGAGCGGCGAGAGCGAGAACGGGACGGTGGTGATGATGATCAACACGCTGGATGCGCCCGCGGATATGTATTTCAATCTGACGGAGAGCCCGTGGATTCGCGCTGGGAGGGAGTATCATGTTCGCGTGAGTAGTCTTGCTTTCTTCCCGCTCCTCGGAAGAGTGGTTTCTGACGCGAAGGGGTGGGCTCGGTTTTGATAATAGGACTTGTGGACGCACACGGACAATGGTACTGCGGTTCGCAGCGTGACGGCGCACAATGTGCCCGCGCACGGCGTCGTCGCGCTCTTGCTGCAAGATGCGGGCGATGAGCCGGCGAACCTGGAGCCGGCGTGTGCGCAGCTCGAGTGGTGTATCCGCGAGAACGGGACGCTGGTCGGGCCGCCGCACAAGGTTGTGTATGATGGGCTGATGCCGCAGTGAGGGGGTTATATGCGATGAAGGTCAGTTTCGAGGGGGGTTGGGAAAGAGGCAGGAAGACGACGGATAAACGGATGAACTATGATGACGATTTGACAGGAACATGTACGCTTTATCTACCCCGGCTTATAAGCCTGCATCTTACGCTACGCGTTGTATATACACATTTTCGCTTGTGTCGAACAACCACAGAGCAATATACGATTCTTGGATTTTACTACATAGCATCAAAATGAGAAGGACAACAAACCGACCCCCACTAGCGCCAAAATGTAAGCGGGCCAGGCTCGACACCAAGGCCCGACAGGGTGCTCCTCGCTTTACCGCTGAGGTCCCCCCACTTACGGATCGTCGGCATATACCTTCTGTCAGCCTGCAGAACGTCTATCTCCAATTCACCTTCCAGCGGTCTCTTCATCGCAATGAACTCGGGTGCACTGATCACCTGTTTTGTTGTGACGGCGAGAACGTCATCACCCGCGCCCGAGCCTACCGTGCGGTGCTCGGCCCAGGCGTCGGAGATGAACCATACTTTGGTGGTAAAGTGCCAGTCGCGTTGGTACAGGTACAGTGAGGATTTGGGATCTACGGGGATTGTGAGTTTTTCTGTGTTTGACGTGGTTGTTTCGGTCTCTGCGAAGATCTTGTGCTCGACGGACGTGGAGACTTCGAGTCCGGTGAGTGCCGCGCCGATGCCGAGGTTTATGCCGAGCGACTCGTTGTGCGTGTAGTGCAGGTGCGTAGGCAGCTCGGCTTCGTGTTTCGCGGGTTGGTTGGAGTCGTTGTGGTAGTAGAGGCGGCGGGTCCACTGGATGTGGTCGAGGTAGGACTCTATGACGGCGAAGAGACCCTCGTGGCCGGCTTTAAAGAAGATTGTTTTGACTGTTTGGTTGACGAGCACCGGCTTCGATCGGGGTGTGAATGCGAGGTATTTGTGGAGGAGCTCGTCGTTGCGCTGTCCCTTGACCCCCCACTCAACTGAGCGATGTGTTGCTCTATGTTCACGCAAGACGTACCTCAGTCCCAGAATCCGCAGACGTCTTCTCAAGTGTTATGGAGATGTTTGGATTGCTAAGTCCCTGAGATCCACCAGCTCCTTCAGCTGAGGCCGTCTCTGTCAAGGGAATATCACCAGAATCACATCAGTACTGTACTAGTGTCGGTCTTCGAGTCGGAATCAGAGCGAACCTTTAGCTTTAGGGGCAGTGTACGTTCCATCCAGGAACTGTGACATAGATCTGATGGGGTAAGATGCGAATGATCTTGGGTCGTTATTCTCTCCATCAAATAACCTGAGTGATTCTTCAACAGCCTGGAGTGGATGGGAGGATGTTCTCATATGTGCAGCGAGTGGTTGTGCTCAGGCTGGAACCAACCTTTGATAGGTCAGACCGCGTGCTTATACGGACATCGCTCATTTGGGCGGCAGTCCTAAGAATAGCAGCATTATGTTGTCATCCATGTACTAAGTTTTGGGCTACCCAGCGCTTCAACGTTCAACGCTGATCAACTTTTAGCTCATAACATTGCTTCCCAAAGGGAATCTTTCTTACGCCGATACACACAGGGATTTTGAGTACACGACGCCATAAAAGACATCAGGAACATCGTGACCTTCTGGACGGACTTTTGAAACTTTCGAGGCCTTGTGCCTGGTCGGCCAAGACCACAAGGCAAGACAATGTTGTATTTCGACTATTTAGGACATTTAATGCGAAATAAATGGGGTGCACTGCCGCGAAATAGATGGAGCGGGCGTGAGAAAGGAAAACAAAGGGATGCTGCGGACTTAAATCAAAAGAAGATTTCAGTGAGATTCGGACGCACGATCGCCCGAACACCATAGCAAGCATGCCATCGGAATTGTGACGTTGACCGCTGCACCACGACGACGTTGAACCAGTAAATAACTTTAGTTTATATAGCCCATCTCTGTTGGACTTAGTGAAAATTCTGTCAATCACCCTAGCTGTTGACGCATTTTGTCCTCACTAGGGGATTATGATGCTACAAGTTAAATATCAAGCCTACTTCTATTTCATCATTCACTTATCAAAATACAGTGCTTGCCTCATACATGTATCAACAAGTGTAACAAGGGCATACTGGTGTCGAGCGTTTGAAGGGAATTTCACTAAGTCCCGCAGAGATGGGCTATATAAACTAAAGTTATATACTGGTTCAACGTTGTCGTGGTGCAGCGGTCAACATCACAATTCCGATGGCATGCTTGCTATGATGTTCGGGCGATCGTGCGTTCGAATCTCACTGAAATCTTCTTTTGATTTAAGTCCGCAGCATCCCTTTGTTTTCCTTTCTCACGCCCGCTCCATCTATTTCGCGGCAGTGCACCCCATTTATTTAGTCAATACGCGACAAATATATTCTGTAGCGACAAACAGGGCGTGCAAACTTGTGAAGTTTCTGGTTTTTCTGATTGACTTGTGAACTTTGCCCTGGCACCAACTCCGGCAACCTTGTACAAAGTAGATACAGGCCTGTACAAGCCTAAACCAGGTACTCACGATGTTCCTGATGGACTGATCATGATTACATCGCAATGCATGAAGCTTACTGGCGCAGTTGTCATACCTCTTCCACTGGATGCACAGTCAAGTTTTTTAGGGCAGAAAACTGTGGGAAAACAGGAAAAAAACCCAAATTGTTTTCACAGTTTTTCAGGATGTAATATTGGATAAAAATCTGTGATTTTCTCACCATATGTGGTGGATAAAAATCGGTTGAAAAGTTTGAAAAAACTGGATAGCATCTAGCTAAAATGTGCGTGCTTTTATTCGGGTTTTTATATAGTAAATGCTTGAAGTTTTCACAATAAAAAACAAATATTAATGATAACAAAAACAGAGAGGTACAAACTAGTTTTTGTTTAGTTTTCTTGGTACACTATTTGAGAGATAACTAAATATGAATACATCAAAGCTATCCAATTATTGAGGAGAAAAAATCGAAAGAAAATAAGGGAGAAAATACAAGAACACTTCACCAGTTTTCTCACCTAAAAAATCAAACAAATAAATCAGAAACCGAGATTTGATTATTTTAACTGTGGCTTATATGGTGGATGCTCAATTGAGCTGCAGCCAACATGGTGCATGAGTGTGGCTAACACAGTACATGGTTGATTGAACTGCAGCTATTGTGGTGTGCAAGTGTGGCTGACATGGTGCATGATAGATTGGGATGCAGTTAATGTGGTGTGTGCTAAATTAGTCTGCAGCTAGTGTGGTGCATGCTAGATTCATCTGCAGCTAATGTGATGCATGCTAAATGGAACTGCGGCTATTGTGGTGCATGTTCAATAGAGCTGCAGCTAACATGGTGCGTGCTAGATTCATCTGCGGCTAATGTCGTGCGTGCTGAATTTATCTGCGGCTAATGTGGTGCAAAATTCATGTGCGGCTAGTGTGGCCCATGGTAAATTCTTCTGCGGCTAGTATGGTGCATGCTAAATGAAACTGCAGCTAACATAGTGCATGCTAAATTCATCTGCGGTTAGCGTGGTGCGTGGTGAATTCATCTGTGGCTAACATGGTGCATGCGAAATTAAACTGCAGCTAACATGGTGTACGCTGAATTCATGCGCAGCTAACGTGGTGTGTGCTGAATTCATCATCGGCTAGTATTGTGTATGCTAGATTCATCTGCGGCTAGCATAGTGCAGGCTAGATCCATCTGCAGCTAACATGGTGCATGCCAAACTCTTCTGCGGCTAGTGTGGTGCATGCTAAAGAGAACTGCAACTAACATGG